TGAAATGCTTCCCGTGGTTGTCCAAGTTCTTCCGATTGGTGCTGAAGTTCTTCTCACTACTGTCGAAGTTCATCCAATCAGTGGCGAAGCCACGTGAGGGCGAGGAATGGCGGCCACCACTCCCTTCGCCGGACAAATAAACCTGGAGTGCTGGTTCAGCCCCTCTGCTCTTGGACTCCTGAAATATTGTGGTTGATTTTTGGAAGTAAGCTCTAAATCACCAGCAGAGTCATTGGGTTTCGGCTTAAAGGCCGAAAAGGAGGTACATTGGCAAGTTGTGTCCGTACAGTTCATGGGGCTTAGGGAGAAAGCTGTGGAAAGTGGAATTTGAAGAAGAAAAAGGGGTAAAAGTATTGGTATTAGATTCTATTGAAGCTTCATTGTCAAGAAAATTATTTCAGAAAAAAGGAAAAAGTTGAAGAATTGTGAAGTTGGTTGTGGAAAAAAATGGTGGCTTGATCAATTGGTGGGGTGAGATCAAAGATTTGACAAATTAGGTTCTGTTTAGTAGAATGATTGCAGTATATTGGTAGCAGAAAAGGAGAAAAAAAGGGAAAGGACTAGGAAGTGGGTTGTTCTAATTAGCTCAATTTATGGGTGTGGATTGTGGAAAAATGGTGTCTTGATCAATTGGTGGAGGGAGATCAAAGATTTGACGAACTGGGTTTTGTTCAGCACAAAAGAGTGACAACAAGAACTTTGATGGAGAAGCACAAAGTTGAGTTAAATTGATTTGATGGGTTTGGGAAGAAATAGTAAGATTTGCAGAGAGCCAGCCACCTGGGGATATTGTGGACCATTTGATTTTTCTGGGTTTTTGACTAAATTGCCCCTTTATGGCTTTCTAATCTTTTCTTTTTCTCAATCAAAGAAAGGGAGGTGAAAAATATATTGGAAAATTGGAGCCTTTATTCACTCATTAAAAATAGAAGAGAGGTGATCTTAAGAACACATTATACTCAATTTTAGTTTGAAAATCCTATCTACTTTGACCAAGTTCAAATAAATTCAATAATAACTTAGAAAAATTAGGGTAAAACTCTAGTTGTGTACATCAATTTGGTTGAGCTTGAATAACAAGTTACGAGGAATTTTGCTCCTCTCCAATGTGAAAGCAACTGTTTTGATTGAACTTTGCACTCTTTTGAATTTCATTCCTCCCCTCAGTAAATCCTAGCTTCGCCACTGCATAACATGGATGTTGAAGTGCTACCCGTGGTCGTTGAGGTACTTTTCGCGAGCGTTGAAGTGGTGAGTTAATGTTAAAAGGGGCTTGACATGAGAGCTTGAAGTATGGGAACTAAAGATTCACAAGTTTATCAAATGAGATAGTGTTTGGTATTGGCTAGGCTTAAGCTTAGCTTGAAGGTTTCTAAGAGATGTTAGCAATGGATGAGTTTGGCTATGGTTGCTGGATTTCATTTGTAGGAGAGTTAGAGGCTTATTTTGTGGATTTGGAATTATACAGTAGATGGAAATGAAAAAGTTGGAGGAAGGAGAATGGAAAGCATGAGGCTAGGCTTGTGGTTGTTTCAAGAAAGCCCGCCGTAGGCAAGAGAGAGATTTCCAATAGTTGGAAGAATAGGTTCTTCTCCTTTGCTTGCAACTGAGCGTGGTGTTCCTTCCCCTTGGTAAAGCTATGAAACCCAAATTACAGAGGTTGAGGGCGTTGTCTTGTTTCGAACGGATAGAAGATTGTGCTGGAAATAGTTTATTTCCAACAGGTAAAACGAGCCGTTGGAAACCACTTATTTCTAGTGGGTAAAAGGGTGGGAATCGAATCTTCTCAGTAATCCATGGACCAAAAGGTGAGATGGCTATACAGTACGAATATGTTCACGGGTAACATATGCTTTGGTACACGAATGGGGTGAAATAGCTTATAGGTTTTTTGGGAGGATAAGTTGTCGTGGAGTTGGGCCAATGACAGTGCATGACTAAATAGCGTCTAGGAAAATGTCTCACATGCTTACCCAAAATGGGATTACTTTAGGTTGGGCTGGGACTTTGGTACTCCAAAGTTGACCAAAGTCTTCATTATCAAAGAGTTTCCATGGGCCTTGTGGATCCCCGTAACTTATAACCCTCAACACCTCAAGCAAGCCCCATGAAATCACATACTTGGGTCATGTGAGCTTGGTATGTTTCAAGTTTAAACAAATGTGTTCGCATGACGTGATGTATGTCCTTATTTGGTGTGACATGATAATCAATTAAAATTTGTGTAAAACATTGCTTAACTATTTTTTTTTTTCAAATAAATACGTATAATATAATTGAAATTAAGATGAGATCACCGTACAACCATACAGAACAATAAGCCTTCAATTCACTTAGGCTTTCGCACATCCAATTTCTGGACCCCAGCACAAGCTAAATCATTGTAAAATAGAACCGCCCATCATTTCTGAATTTCCATTAACAATGACACGGTTTGAAATGATCCCTTGAATACTTCAACCAGAGTGCCCCATTTGCTTGTGCTTTCACATTCTCTTTTTGGTTGGAGTTTTATTGGGTTCTGATTGCTGTTATGTTCCCGTAAAGACAAACGACATAGCGGTAAAATTCATTGTTACTTATAAAAATAGCATATAGAAATAAACAGAAACTCCATGGCTTTTTCAATCTCAAAGAAAACCCTCACTGTCCGGCGAAAAAATTAAAAAAAAAAAAAAAAAAAAAGTAGGGCTCGACTTACCATAGATTAGCTGAGCTCCTCCTGGATGTTTTGGAACTGTCATCTTCTTCGAATCACACCCTTATTGTGGACCACAATTCTCCATTGCGCTTACTCTCCCAGAACCTCTTTCCGACATGTATAAATCGTTTCACTTTCTGAACCCTAATTCTGAAAACAAAGTTCCATTTGATAATGTGAACTCGCTCACTAGTTCGTGAAGTTAAATGACAACATTACCCTATTATTCCTGACATATGGGCCACATAAGCACCATGTAAGCTATTCTAACTTTTATTTGACTGAATAAGAGGGAAATAGGGCATAGTGTGAGAGGTTATAAGTTTTGGGGGGATTAAGTGAGAAAAACTAAATTTCACGGGGCAAAGAGAGAGTAAGTATGAATTTCGTACGCTGTTGTAGTAATAAAGTGTTTTTTTTTTTTTTTGGGTCATGGTTGAATGACAAGTAATTATTTTTCTTCGGATAAACTTGCATCCGTCCATGAGGGAATGTACCACTCATCACGAATAATGTATTTATAAATTTTATAATTAGAGCGGTTCAATTATTTAATCTTCTTTTGAAGATCATTTCACAAAATAAATATTAATTAATCTAATCATGAATATGCTACTTGAAATTCACATGGTCATAAAATGTTCCATATATTTTCATAGCTAAACGATCATCGGTCCGAATGATATTTTTCTTGGAATGATCTTTTAATGAAGATAAAGAAGTTGATCAATTCCGATTAAAAAGCTTATATGGTAAGAATATGCTATTTGCAAGTGGTGGAATACAGGCATTCTCCTATAAAGATGCAAGTATTAAACTTTATCTATTATCCATTTTCTTGTTCTTTCTAAATATACTATAACTGTATGTATGCTTTAACTGAAAATATAACTTTAGCTCTAAAAACTTAATTTTCTCTACATAAAACCCGATATAAGTTTTTTACTTGAATAAAACCCATTGACTAGATTCCACATCAGCAAATTCATTAATTATGTTTAACTTTACACATTTAAATTTTTTGAATGCCTAAAATACCCCTACTTGAAATTTTTATTTATTTTTTTTGATAAACCCTATTTGGATGTTTGATGTACATAATTAATATCATGCAAATTGTAAGGAAGAATTAATGATTTTACCAAAAAAGAAAACATTAATGTTATAAATTCATTGCCTAATATAATAACATAAAACATGTCTGATATATGTTATTATACATGCTTAATTAAGTCAATAAAATTATATTTTACATGTTAATTTAGGTAAATTATTTCACCGGCACACACACACACACACACATATATATATATATATATAAAGCCTAATATATGTAAAATTCATGCAAAATAATTTACCTACAAAAAAAAAAAAAAAAAAAACATTTGATTCAAATAGTGCACATACTATGAAAATTTTAAAATGTTAGTTTGCTTAAAAAATTAATAATTTACCCAATACATGTAAAATACATGAAAAATAATTTACATACATCATAACAAACCCAAATATAAGCAAAATACAAGCAAAATAATTTACCGACATAATAAAACAATATTTATTTTATTTAATACTAACTTACCTATTATATATACATATAATAATAAAATGTGCCAAATATATAAAAAAAAAATATATATATATATATATGATATTGATACATACAAAATAAAATAGCTACATAACACAAGAATGTTATTTGATTTAAAATTAATTTACTTGCAAAATAAGGCAAGGTTATTTGATTCGAAGTTAATTTACCTATTAATTATAAAACATTTGAATATTGTGTGGCGAAACATAAAACGCAGAAAGCACATCACATAATCCAACCAGTTAAAACTAAGGGAATGTGTGCACTTCTGAAAGAGGTAAAAATGCTACTGGATTGTGGAAGTCCTTTATGAAGAAGCAGAAAGCACTTCCAAATTACATGTTTATATGAGTGCTCGTGAACCAAAATATTTCTTACATACTCAGTCAAACGAGCGCTACCAAGACATGCATGTGACTTTTTCAGCCCCCACCACTGTCGTGATCAAAGGTTCCGACCCTGAAATTTCGATGCCGTATAATTCATTGAAAATTGAGGTATCAAGAATAGTGCATGATGAGATATGATATACATCCACAGATTTATGCCAATACAAGAACCTGGTAATTTGGCAGCCCCCACCACACAAAAATACAAAAGTTTGCCTCTAATTTGTTTACTCTGCCAGCTAAAATCCCAAGGGCACACATGGGGCTAGCTCGGATTAATCATTTAGCGCATTTCTAATTTTCTATTAACTTAAACTTGAAACCTCACCGTTCCTGAACCCTATAAAATCCTAATCCCTCTACACCTTAATTCCTCACCCCACACCGTCACATCTATTAGTGCTACTACCCAGTATAACTGAAAGTACAATAACTACACACCCAGTTCTTCTAGGGTTTGAGAGATGGCATCCAAAACGACGTCCTCACTCGCTCTCTTCCTTGCACTCAATCTCTTCTTCTTTGCCCTTGTCAGTTCTTGTGGCACATGCCCCGGCCCTAAGCCGAAGCCAAAGCCAAAGCCGACACCGAAACCTAGCCCTTCCACTGGCACCAGCTGCCCTAGAGATACCCTCAAATTAGGGGTTTGTGCTAATGTCCTCAATGGGTTACTTAACATCAGCGTTGGCAAACCTCCCGTAGAACCTTGCTGCTCTCTCATCCAAGGCCTTGCTGACATTGAGGCTGCTGTATGCCTTTGCACTGCTCTCAAAGCCAACATTTTGGGTATCAACCTCAACATTCCAATTTCTCTTAGCTTGCTTCTTAATGTTTGTGGAAATAAGGTTCCCAAAGGTTTCCAGTGTGCCTAAAAGCTACAAAATATGATCCTTCATTTCTTTCATCTTTATGATTTGGCTTTCGTACTTGTTATATATTCAGTGTGAAATTGTTGTGTAATTGGTGAGTTTGTAAGTGGGAATTTATCGTTTCCTTTGTTATGGATGTTGCCTGATTAAGGGGTGATAAGATTTAGTTACTTAAGTTTTCCTCATCATTATGGGAATGGAATGTGTCATTTAATTTACTTCGGTACCAGTTGCCTTAATTTAATTTAGTATGTCTAATTTGGCGGTCTATTTCATTAATTAAGTGCTTGATTACACATGGATCTTATAGTTCAGTTGGTCGAAAACAATTATCTTTGTACTTGAGGTTTGGAGTTCGATTCTCTTTTCCCTACTGTGATGTATGTAGGCGTTAGGGCCAAAGATCTCATGTACAAGTTCAACCACATCTTGAAGCCTGATAGTTGTAAAAATGCCACGAGCCAATCCTAAATGCCTGAAAGAAGTCCAATGACGACCATCTAGTGGCATTAGGTCTCCATTTTATTTTATGAATGTCTGGAAAATCTCATGAACAATATATTGGCTAGTTGCCCAAGTAAAATTAACTGAACTTTGTAGTCTATGTGTTAGTTTTATGGCATTCGGTCTCCGTTTTATTGAGAGGACCAAAGATTAAACTAGAGGAGTGATATATCATGCTCTCCTTGGCATCAAAACACAAAAAGAAAAGGTTGAGTTTGAACCAAATCTCATTGGTCAACCGCTCATTTATAAAAGACAGTGCGAGAGAAAATTTTTGTAACCAAGAGTACCCTAGTAGGGCTTTGGTGGACTGGATCCCACATCAAGGTATGGACACCAAGAAAAGAAAACAAAACAAAAAACTAGTAATAATTGGGTAAATAAAAATAAAGGTAAATTATATTTTGCACCCTCAAGTTTGGTTGCAATTGCAATCTCATAAATCATCTTTAAAATATTGCAATGTCATACACAAACTTGTGCGTACAATATCATAGATGAGTTTGTCAATTTGTTAATACGATCATTAAGTGATGATGTGAGAAGCACGGAGTCCACATTTTTGTTGATGTGGATGCCACAAAGGAGAAAAATAGAAAAAAAATATAATTGTTTTAGAATGTTTATTTAAAGCCACTTAGTACTACAATCTAGTGGTATTCTTCTTCATTTGTAAGTGAGAGGTCTTAGGTTCGATTTTTGCCAAAGGCGAATTTGAATCACATTATTGCTAGCCCATTGTGAGGCTAAGCCACCCTCTCCCCATAGTGTAGGTAATATTGCTTGTTGAAAAAAATAAAAAATAAAAGAATGTTTATTTAAAAGACGACAAGCACTGCAGAACTTTGACTGGGTTTCGAACGAGAAAGAAATCAACGGCAAATTTTTGGAGATCATTCACGGGAGAGGGAGACTTTTGGGTGAAGAAGACCACAAATAATTGGTAATTATTGTTGGGGAGAGGGAGAGTTTAAGTTGAAAAAAAAAAATTAAAAACTGTTGCCAGGTACAACTTTTTATCTAAGGACGGGTCAATGACCTGATTCCACCCTAAGCTTGCTTGATTGATTTGTTTTCGCCCATTCAGATTTGATTAAATGGACCATATTTGGTCTGCACCTAAAGTCCGCAAAGTGTGATCCGCAACTTAGAAACCTATTATTTCCAATGTTCAACCCGTGACTGATCCTGGCTTGGAATGGAAGAAAAGGAATTTTGAGATCATTTGTACACGTTTGATTCCAACCATATCTAGGTATCTGACTTTTAGCAAGAAAAGGGTCATGGACTCATGGTAGTCATCCCAAACTCCTGTATACTTTTCCTTTTGTGTTATGTAGAAGTAATGCAACTTTGGACCTACATCGATGAAGTCCCACAATTGAAAAACATAAAGGGTTAAAAGCACAACCAAGACTCAATGATCATTTTTTCTTTTTAAGAAATTAATATTTAAGTTGACAAATATGGCTACATAGTGTTAGATATTCACATATAAATTATAACACTTGAACAATCATTACTAATTAAACTTAAAGAAACAAAAAAAAAAAAAAAAAACAAACTAAGCCAATATGCTATGACACACCAACATACCACGTGATTTAGCATTACATGCAATACTTTTCTGAAAATATTATTTTAGGCCATATATGCATGAACGTAACCTTTTCGTTATTACTAATGCCAATAAAAGCAGTAAAGCCAGTCAGATGTAATCCGGTTAACTTCCCACTCTGACAAAAAATTTCTTGTTCTGTTTCCTTAAGGCCAATATACACATATCTTCTTGATGACGACAGCCTCTCGATTTGAACTGCAGATAGGAAGGTTCCTTATTATTGGCTTGATCCTCAAATTAGTTAATTAATTAGATCGTCCCTCCTAACCACCAATTCAATCCGTGAACAAATATTGGCACATTTAATTTTTCAATTATAATAAACAGAGAAATGATCAGATTTCTTCGTTGGATCCGCATACACGTATGGCCAATGGTCTTGAGCAAACATTTTGTTTACAAGTGTGATAACTCAATATTTTTTTTTATTTTTTAAATAAGGATGATAATGGATTAGGCAAGTCGAGCTACGCATAAAGCTTGGTCATTGGACTACAATAGTAGAAACCTTACTCTCTAAACCCGCATAGTGCAGAAAGAAAGAACCAAATATTTCTAGCTTCTGCATAGAGTGAGTCTTGATAATCCAAAAAATAAGATAGAGATAAAAGGGGAAATATATGATATGATTGTTTAGGTATATAATGTTGAAAATATAGAAGGAAATAAGAAGGAATAACAAAAAAAAAAGAGATCGTTGGGTCAAGGGACGAATGGAATTCGATAAGGCGAATCGAACAACGTATAAGGCTTGGTCGTCAGACTACAATACTAGAAACCTTATTCTCTAAACTGCACAATATGCGGAGAAAGAACGAAGACGCCAGGATTAGCCGTCAACAACATGTATATGTAGGCTACTTCCTTTACGCTCAGAGCAATTAAAAAGGGTTATTTCCCTGATAGAACAAGTCCACCGTCCCCTATCTTCGAATTTATTAAATAAAGAAAAGTGAAAATAAAATAATACAAGCAGGGGGATGAAACCAAAACTCACTAAGAGAACAAAAAAAAATCAACAGAAATGGAAAACAAGAAGAAACTCAAGGCACGAGCATGGGTGGCAGCTGCAAAATCTAGAACAGTGGACCACCAATAATAAGCAGTACTTGATAACTCATATAATTCATACATTTATACCATCCTTTTCTAATCTCTTTGTGATGTTTTTGAGTTAAACTGGTTGCATTTTACTCTATTTTGTGTTAGTGTGCAGTTACATGTACTTTAGGATCAATTTGAAGGCAAAAGAAGTGAAAACATGCCATTTTTGGGGTTGACCCTTATTAAAACATGGAAAGAAGTTTAGTAGCCTGTTTTGAAGCCCAAATAAAGAATCCAAGACAAATCTAACTTGTTAGAAGACCAGGAGCAGAATGGGAAAGGAATTGAAATATCTAGCCTGATTTGGAGGAGCCAAATAAGTAAAAACGTTCAAAACTTTGGCTTGATGGTTAGGATCACCTTGCAATCAGCTACAGCCCCATTTAGCCTATAAATACTAGGGTTTCAGATCACTTTTACATAAGCCCCTCTTGGGGTCGCCCAGAGCTCTCTCTCTTCTCTTTCTTTGGCCTTTCTTCTAGAAACAAAACCCTTTTTCCCTTCACCATCCGCTACCACCAAAGAAACCACGCAGCCGCGCTGTTCTTGGAGAAGTTCAACTTCAGAATTGCTTCAAGGGGTTTTTTCTTATGAACTTTAATTTCACTCATGTTGTTCTTGATATTTAACTATTATGTAATCATGTTGTGTAATTAAGTTCATAGTTGGGGATTTTGATGTAGCCTTGCAAAATTATTCTTGGTTATTAAGTTAAAATATTCGATTCACCAATCTGTGTTCTTATTTCATTCACTGATTTTATAGTTTAATTTGTTTGTTAATCTTAATGTTTGATCACCATTAGGGCTGCTTATGAATTATTTGATCATGTGAATGAATGAAGAAATTGCTATGCATACATCCTGCCATGTGATTTCTTTGGTTCTATGAAGTTTTCTTGTTCTTAATGGATTCTTATTTGGTAATCTAAGTTGAACATCATAACTAGGTTGCAGATTAGGAGTACTTGATCACAACCACTCATCAAATGGATGATCATAAATAAGTAAAATGAACCCTAGTTGCAAATTGGAGAGTTGAATGCGTTTTGACTTAATTTTCATGGAATTGACTTGTAATGGTGAAATCTGTATCCCTAGTTCTATTCCCATTATTTCTGAATCAACCTAGCATTTATCTTTATCTTTCTTGCATTTTTAAGCGATTTAAACTTCCAATTGAAAAATCTAAATTCAGTTTTCATTTTCATTGTTTAGTTAGGGTTCACATAAAGCTAATAATTTGTAGAGGTCTAACCAGTCCTTGTGGTTCGACACCCTTACTTGTGCCATTATACTATCCTTATATTTGCATTTGAAAGGAATACAACACTACCAGCCATGCTAAAAGAAGTTAGTGCATCAACAACTTCATTACTCCCCCGATAAATGTGTGTAAAAACATTACTAATCTGACGAAGATGGCATAAACAATTGTATCCACAGATTGTAAGAGTGGATACTGAAGGAAAATTTGTGAAAACAAGTTCATTTGAGCAGCATCTATGCATGCAATTAACAATTAAACGTGGAATCATGCTTGTATGCACTCAAAGATAAAACTTTACCCATGAAATTCAAGGCCTAGTAGTTGTGGTGAATCAAGACTCAACTCAAATCTTAAAGAACAGAGTTGAGAAACTTTTATACCTTTGAAGCAGCTCTTTGCTTAGCAAATGATATTCACCCATGTGAGGGCCTTCTTTCCTTGGTCTCCTTCCTCTTTGGCTCCATGGACTTGGATGGAGGAACTTTGCTTCTTGGCTCCATGACTTCTTGGATATGGATGAAGGAATGGATTCTCCAAGTTCCCAAGAAAGGGAACCTCTAAGTTTCCACACCAAAGAGAGCATTGAGGAAGAGATGAGTGACCTAGGAAGAAATGGATGCTAGTCCATTCTTCCTAGGGTGGCCGACCTCCTAAGAGAAGAGAGAGTTTTTGTGTTTATTTTCTTTTCTATCAAGAAAACCTTTTTTTGTGAGGGAATGG